TACCTCAGAACTTGTTTTCTTCCGACACGATCTCCAATCAACGTCGTAGGTAAGCGTATTTTTCATTTATGAATGTTTTCTTTTTATTGAAAGCACTTTTATTTACAAGTCGAACATTCCTTCTAGGATTTAGGATCAACATGAACTGGAAAAACTGTATGATAAAAAGATAACCGATGCAATTCCCAAATTAGCACCCATCAAACTTTTGTTTTGTGTGTGATTTCTACTCACGCCGATTGCATAATGGTAGTTCAGTAGCATTACAATTTTCTTTTCCGCAGTGGGATCGCCTATTTCTGTTTCCAAGATTGATAAACCAAGGAAGGAAGATATAGACAAACTTCACACACGGTACATAGACGAACTAAAAGAATTGTACGAGAACTATAAAGACAAGTATCACCCATCAGAGAGATCTGAGTTGTTGATCATCTAGTTACTAAAAGGGAAGTTGTTTGAAGTTTTTTTTTAGTCTCAGTAAAATGTCACTAACATACAGTCGTTTTTATTTGTTCTTCCATGGAAAACTTACCCATACCCCCAGTGGAAACTCCCACCAGATTTCTCATGCTGAGATCCTTTCGCGTTAACGATGAGATGTATGATGGGTCCTAGGGTGCGTAGGATTTGAGAATCCGTAGAGCATCAATTGTTTCTTTTTTTCTGTCACGTCACCGAAAAATGAAAATAAAACCTATTTTAATGGCCGGCTGCAGTTAATAGCTAGAGAAATTGCAGAATATTGATTAAAAACCACATCCGTCCGTCTATCAATGATTGTTGGAAACGCGATAACTTCCCTACTGCAAACTAGCAAAAGATTTATAAAAACAGTTTTTGTAGCCTAAGCAGATTGCGGGTTATTTACGCGGCCTTAGTTCACGTTACTTGAACGCATGGCAACGTTAATTGCGAAGTGAACGGGAAAAAGATTCGCCGACATTGCAGCATCAAACCCTCGGCTTGCATCACTCGCTTCAATGGGTTTATCGTTCGCCAAGACGCTCCGCTGACAAGACACATCCTTCGCGAACAATCCAGCTTTATGGGCAAGAACTAACGTTGTATGTCGTCAAAGCAACACACTTCATTATTTATATTAATCGCTTCTTCTAAAATTCCCCGGTAGCAGGGAAAGGTAATAAGAACCCAGCTCATACACTCCGCCTATCCGTTATCCCTTGAGAACTACAGTTCCACAATTCCAGAATTTTTGTTTGTTTGCTTCAATACGTGCCATGTTTCCTCCTTCCATCGATTGGGTAAACATCATGCTACGCGTACGTCAATTGCTTCTTTTTGTGTGAAACTCGAAAAATGCCCCTCACTATCGATTACATTCTACAAACTTTGAGCATCGTTCTGCTGTACTACGTAGGATTCTTAGCGAGCACTCACCTGCTGGGCATCTTTACGCTGTACAAGCTGTTCTTCTATACACCCTTATGGCCGGTTGTACTCCTCTATTTATCATGGACGTATCTCATTGAGTGGAAAACCCCTGAACGTGGCGGAAGAGATCTTCTGATAAACTTTGCAAGAAGGCTTTCTGTTTTCAAGTACATGAGGGATTACTATCCCATTACCCTCGTCAAAACTAGCGATCTCGATCCACAGAAGAATTATATTTTTGGATATCATCCCCATGGGGCTCTTACCGAAGGCGCATCGATAGGATTGAATACAGAAGCATGTGGATTTAGTGAAAAATTCCCTGGAATCATTCCGCATCTTTCCGCGCATTCAGGTAAGCTAAATCAACTTGAATCGCCATATTGGTCAATGCTTCATTACGATTGAAATTTTTAGTAAACAGCCCAAAGTTTTTGCCTATTTTGACACTATTACAGTTTTTGATTCGTCCAAGTATCCATTCCTTGTCCATTATTTAATGAGAAAGACTACGACTGATCTTTTGACAAAATGTTCATCCATTTCATTCTTGGTTAGCTGTAACAATACATTTCGGCGTAAAATCTGTATCCCTGGATCAGTGGTTAAGTGGATTACGGACTGCACCCCGACGTAACTGTATTCCATGTACTCAATTATTCAAGTATTTCATCAATTACCAGGGAGCAAGAAAAGGTATTGACCCAAGTTCCCAGCTTTTCCCTTTCCATATACCACATTTGAATGTACCTAAAATGGAACCCAAGGTAGGAATGAAGACCGAGTAGAAACACCATACCCATGAGCAGTCTAGGGCAAGTTGCAGTACGTGTAAGAAAAGAGACAAACGCATATGGGGCTTATTCGGTTTGTATCTGACTTGCTTGTTTTCTGGAAACTTTTCGTTCAGGTATCCTAACAGCCTTGTTATACCGTGATATCGTGATGGCCCTTGGCGTGATTGATGTGACACGTGACAGCTTGCAATACAATCTGACACAGAAGGGGGCGGGACACTCGGTTGTCATCATCGTGGGCGGACAAGCAGAGATACGAGAAATGGGCTTTGATAGCTATGTGTTAATAATGAGTCGGCGGAAAGGATTCATTAAATTGGCTTTACAACTTGGGTTTGTATCAGACAGGCATCTTATCTTTCTGACATCTTATCTCTTGTAATTTCAGCTAAAAGCAGGAGCTAAGTAATGGGTTCCTGCTGAAAGTAAGATAGCAAAGAAGGCTGAAAAATGTTAGAAGAATTATCTTGCCTTCAAAGCTAGCATCGCCCAACCCAACCCAACCCAACCCCAACCCCCCAGCCTCCGCTTCAAGGATAGTCGTTAGTCGGGAGGCATCAGCCGACTTGTTTCCCCTTGTTGTAAATATTCTGTATCCTCCATTACACGGAGTTTTGACACGGACTGTAAGTAAGTGCGTAAACGTTTATCAATTTTTTAGATGCGATCTTGTCCCTGTGTTCGGCTTTGGACAGAACAATCTTTATCATCATTTCATTGGCGGCAGTAGTTGCACCCGGTATTCACGACCTCAGCTTTGGTTTAGAAATTTCACTTCTTGCCTCGGAACTTGCTTTCTTCCGGGACGATCTCCAATCAACGTTGTAGGTAAGCGTATTTTTCTTTAATGAATGTTTTTCTATTTTATGCAGTGGTTTTTTTTTACAAATTGAGTATCAAAAGCAATCCGAGATAATTGATTAATTGAATTGAAATCTTTATTAAGTCATAAGATAAATAATCACATATCCTATGTTACAACATTAAAAGAAGGTATATATATAAATTACAGAGAAAATCAAGATAAAAATTATAAGACTAGATTATGTTTAAAAATTAAGCGATTAACAAACGTGTTTTTGAACCTATCAGTGTTTATTTTAGGATGGTGACTTGTCTCTTTCCTCAGATTGTACTTGGTTAATTTCTTTTTTGGCATTATAGCTCTTAAAGGGTGTATTGTATTATTAAAAACATTCTTGAAGATACGCGTGTCCTGTTGAACTAACAATTCATAAACATTAATGTGATCGGATGTATACTTGCGCTTATAACATCGATCTAAGAAACATTGGATTGTTGTTAATTCGGAATTTACAGCGCCAAATACGGACAACCCGTATAATATATTTGGTAGAACCAGATTTAGAAACAGATGGTCTATTTCGGCCTGATTGTACCCTTCTTTCCTTAAAGATCTTAAAATGAACAGGCACTTGTTTGCTTTAATTAGTTTTTCCCGAATATGTGTTATGAACCTACTGTCTTCCTGAAATGTTACCCCTAAAATAGTAAGCTCTTTTGTCTGTGGTATTCCAGACACCATCGGAAACTCTATTGTACAACCTTTCTTGCGGAAAATGATTTCCTTGCACTTAGATGGATTGCTACACATACCATTACTTCTAGACCACTGGGAAAACTGATTAATCAGTGCGATAGAATTGTCATTATCACCTATCACAGGCGAGATAATGGTTGTATCATCTGCATATTTTACCAGCACGCTCTTATTGTCCAAGTGTATCTCTAAATCACTGAGAAAGACATTGAACAAGTGCGGCCCGCTGACACTTCCTTGGGTGGTACCTTTGTTGACACTTTTCCATTTTCCAATAAACCCATTTCTAATGACTCTCTGCTGCCTGTCTTCCAAAAAGCTTAGATACCAGTTAACTATAAAAGGATTTAGGGGGAGTTGCTTCAATTTGTGTGAGAGGAGATCGTGTTTCACACTATCAAAAGCCTTGCTGAAATCCATAGCGAATAGGCGTACCGCTTTGCACTCTGGGATATCAAGATATTGATTGACAGTATGTTGGATAGTCAGTAGAGCATTGGTACAGCTCCCTCCCTCTATGTATGCAAACTGTGAGATCCCAGAATGTTCATCGAAGGTCTCCCTTGCGTGTGTTCCTAAGACAGCTTTCTCAAAGCACCTTGCGATGACAGGTGTCACATTTATTCCGCGGAAGTCTGATATTCCCTTAGGTATATCAACCTTCGGCAAGGGGTACAGGTCTGACTTTTTCCAAGAGACAGGCCAGGCGTGTGTTCTAAGAGACAGATTCCAAATCCAGGTGATCACTGGAACGAATAGCTCGGCGTGGTCTTTCCATATAGTATACGGGATGCCATCTGGTCCGGTTGCTGTTTTCTTTATACGCATAAGAGAATTCAGGACTTGTCGCTCTGAGATTTCTGGGACTTCCTGATCTTCACTAATCTCCAGAGGTGTTGGCTTTCTGTAGGCGTGGTCAGTACATAGGTCACCAAAGTAGTCATTTAACGCGTTGAGTTCGTAGTGGCCAAGAGATAGAGAAATCACCGGCTTGCGGCGCTGAGATGTTTTATCCACTTTTTTCCACCAATCCCGAGTTCCAATAGAGGCGATAAAGTCCCTTCTGTTTCTGAAAATCACTTCAGAGATCCTTTTATTCATAACTTTAAGACGGTCTAGATTACTGAGTGATATGCGTGATTTGGCTCGTATCATCGATCGAACGAGCGGAGTCATCCAGCCCGGGTCTCTTGAAGACATGCGCACTGTTTTCAGAGGCATGCAGCTATCCAGGTGCCCTAGGATGGTATTTTCGAGCCTACCAACCACTTCATCGACATCAGTTTCCTGTATCATATCATCCCAGTTTTCCTTCGCCAACGCGATATACAGATCACGCTTTCTATGAGCCCCTTGGTCACGCACGTATACTTTACGGCGGATAGGTGGAAGCTTTATACCGGGTGGTAAAATAACTCCCATGTGATCCGTCTTGGAGAGCATGTGAAAGGGATAGCACTTTGAAAAGAGATCCGTGCGGTTCGTGAAACAGTTGTCCAAACAAGAATTCCCTCTGGTGGGGAAATTAACCAGAGCATTCCAACCAGACATTTCTTCGAAGCGTTTGATATCCAGTTTGTTGACATCGCCACCGCACAACACAACTGTTTGTGGATGTTTGTCTAGTATATTATCCACGGTATTTACAAGATGATTCATTAGATCGATCTCTGCATAATTAAATTTTGGGGGATGATAAATTCCACATATTACAAATCGATGTCCCTTGGGAAGTCGCAGAGTTATACAAATTAATTCATAAAGACTAGAGCGGTAAACATCCTCTACTGCAAGATTGTTCCTGATGTATATAGCAATCCCACCCTTATTGCGCATATCTCTGCCATTCCAATTTCTGTCTCTACGAAAGATGGAATAGTTCTCAATATTTACAATCGCATCCGGTTGTGCCGGTTTGAGGTGTGTTTCCGATACGACACAAACATCAATATCTTTAGATCGCAAGTCAGCCTCAAGTCCAACCGCCGCACGCACTTTGTTCTTAGTTTTTGCGAGACTGCAAATATTGATGAACATACACTTGGGAACGGCAAACCCGAGCAATCGGTAGATGATTTAGTAGGCTCTCGAGGAATAGCTGTAAGATATCTGTTCTTAGCGGGATCTTGGAAGCGATAAGGTCTAGCAAACCGCCGGGTTTTAACAACTTCAATGGGTCGACATCTGTCGGAGTGTTGCGATGCAGAGATATTTTTAGTAATTTTCCCCAATCTTCGTAATCCCGGACCTCTGTATTTCAGAATTCCCAGGGATTTAAGGGTATCGAAAACATGAGGCGCAGGTCGGCCCGCCGAACGTCTCAGCGAAAGTAGCCTGTCACGATTGTGAGAGCAATGGATTCTGACTGACCCAATTGCAGGTTGACAAGCAGAGTCCGAGGAGTTGGAGCTCTGTTTTCGTTTACCGTGGTCATTATCCACTTCTTCAGGTCCAGGATGTGGATGGACATCCATATTAACAGTAATGTCGAGCACAACAAACTTCTCAGGGGCGGCCAGGAAGACCATGCCTCGACTGTCCCATTTCACCATAGCCCTTCTTACCCGGAGATTTCGAGACCGGGATACTCTCAGCTCAAATCTAGCCATCCAACTAATGCATCTTGATGTTAAAGATTGATTTCGATAAGCTCTTTCGACTGTTATCATAGTTATGAAGGTAAAAATATAGAAAACTGCAAGAGCTCTAAAGAGCGTGGCAGCCATATTGGCATGCATATATTATGACTAGCTTAAGTTTTGCTCTACTTCGCTCTATGATTGGTCCAGAAAACTCGTCCCGCTTTCTCAACGTACCAATCAGACGCAAAACTAGAACCAATCACGAATTGATCGCTCGCGTTTTCCTGCGCTCTTGGTTGTTTTAACTTGAGTTCTCATAGGCTCTTTAAGTTATTTTTCTTTCTCCTGACAGGCCGTTGCGATTATTTAAGTTTTGGTGTTACAACGCTCGATCGAAAAGAGCTCCAAAGAAAGACCTATGCAATCCTAAATTACATTCGACACAAGCTAGCAACCAACAGATCTGTTGTTAGCGTATGATTTCTCTTCATATCAATTCTATAGTGGTTAGTTCAGTAATGGTTTCACTTTTCCTTTCCACAGTGGGATCGCCCATTTCTGTATCCAAGATTGAGTGTCCAACGCAGGAGGACATCGACAAACTTCACGCACGGTACATAGACGAACTGAAAGGATTGTACGAGAAATATAAGGACAAGTATCACCCATCAGAGAGATCAGAGTTGTTGATCGTCTAATTTATATTAAACGAAGTTGGTTGAAGTTTTTTCCTTTTACCTAAAAAAAAATGTACCAAATTACAGTCGTTTTGATTGGTCCCTTCCAGGAAAACTCACCCGCAAACTCGGAAATTCCCACCATATTTTTCTTACCTAAAGGTCCCATGGTGTGCAGTGAGTTCTGTTGTGCATAAGGGTCGAGAATGTGCGCAATATTGTAAGTGTTAAATTTCCCACCGCGAACTACCTAAGGAATACATCAACAAACTCTCTAGCCTCTAAGCACATGGCGGGATTTTTACACGTGTCTTTACTTGAAATTATCTAAACACATACGAGCGGCGAAGCGAATGGGGGGAGACTCCATGAAATTGCGAAATTAATTGCAGGCCACGGGTGGCATCAAACTCTTAGCCTGCGTCACCCGCAAAATTAGGTTTATCACTTTATCAGGGGTTCACTGACAAAATGCATTCTTCGCAAACAATCTAGTAAGGTGGGACAAAACAACCGCTATATGCCGTTAAGCAACACACACCGTCATTCATGGCTTTTATCGAAATTTATCTGGAGGCAGGGAAAAGTAGCAAGAATTGTGAGAATGCTTGACTCAGACATTCCGCCAATCATTAATAACTGCAAAGTTACAATTCCACTATTCCCAGATTTATCATTATTTACAGTAACACACGTTATGACGCAACCAAAGGCGCATCGATAGGATTGAATACAGAAGCATGTGGATTTAATAACAAATTCCCTGAAATCATTCCAAATCTGTCCGCGAAGTCAGGTATGCTCCAATCGATTCGAATCTCCACATTTTAATGTCGTGTTTGGTTGATGCTTTGTTACGATTGAAAATTTTAAGTAAACAGCTTAAGTGTTCGCTTATTTAACCATCAACGTTTACAATTCGTCAAATAATTAATTTCTCTTTCATTCTTTAATCAGAAATATGCTTACATCCGATCTGTTGACAAAATGTTTAGCCATTTCATTCTTGGTCATTTGTAACAAAACATTTCGAAGTAAGATCGGTATCCCTGGACTAATTGACTAGTGGATTACTGATCGTTCCTCGATGTATCCGTATTCCTTTACTCAAATGTAAAATTATATCCTCAAATTGGTAAAAAGAATGGCTTCCCAGCCAACACGAAAAGTAGTGAACCAAGTTCCCAGTTCTTCCCTTTTCATATCCCACCTCTAACTGTAACTCAAATGGAACCCTCCGAGGATAATACTGAGAATAGCAGTAAAACGCCGTTATTCATGGCATTTGTTACGATTCCTCCGAGGGCAGAATAGCGAGGATATAAACCAGACATTCCGCTGATCCCTATCAACTGTAAAGTTTCAATTCCAACGTTCCTGAATTTTTCAATATTTACAATGGACGGACCAATCAACGGAAGCTATGACGTATAAGATATCTTCGTGTTCTTCTCATTAGGCTTGACAAGCATCACACAATGCCAATTAGAGCTGTCCGTTTCGGTCTAAAACCCGAAAAATGTCTCCAAGTATCGACTACATTTTACAATATTTGAGTATAGCACTGCTGTACTTTGTGGGATTCTTAGGAGGCACTCACGTACTGGGCATCCTTACGCTTTACCAAATATTTTTTTATACACCCTTATGGCCGGTTGTACTTCTCTATTTATCATGGACATATCTTGTTGAGTGGAAAACCCCAGAACGTGGCGGAAGAGACCTTCTGATAAACTTTGTACGAAGGCTCTCTGTTTTCAAGTACATGAGGGATTACTATCCTATTACCCTCGTCAAAACCAGCGACCTCGATCCACAGAAGAATTACATTTTTGGATATCATCCCCATGGAGCTTTTACCGAAGGAGCATCGATAGGATTGAATACAGAAGCATGTGGATTTAGTGACAAGTTCCCCGGAATCATTCCACATCTGTCCGTGACATCAGGTACTCTAAATCAACTCGAATCGCCATATTATCGATCAGGTTTGGTTGACTTTTTACGATTGAAAATTTTAAGGAAACAGTCAAAAGTTTACAGTAATTTTACTATTACAGTTTGTGTTTCGTCTGGGAATTAATTTATCTTTCTTTCTACTTTCGGAAATATGCGCACAACTGATCTGTTGAAAAAATATTCAACCATTTAAATCTTGGTCATTTGTTACAAAACATTTCGGTGTAAAATCAGTATTTCTGGACTTGTGAACTATTGGACCACGGATCGTACCTCGATTTCTTCATAATCCTTTAACTCAAATATTAAAACACCTTTTCAAATCAATATTTCGTCAGCTTTTCAGTGAGTACAAAAAGTATGGGCTCAAATTCTCGGCCCATCCTTTTTTTATATCCCGACTGTGCCCAAAGTGAAACTCCTGACAGACACTAGGTGGCCAAACTACACCCTTGTAACCCTTATGTAAGAGATACAGAAAGGCAAAAGAATATTTATCTCTAGTTTGCTGTTTTTCCGGATTTTTTTTGTGCAGCAATCCTTAAAGCCTTGTTATACCGTGATATTCTTATGGCCCTTGGCGTGATCGATGTATCACGTCACAGCTTGGAATACAATCTGACGCAGAAGGGGGCGGGACACTCGGTTGTCATCGTTGTGGGAGGAGCAGCGGAGATTCGTGAAATGGGCTTTGACAGCTACGCACTGATAATAAAACGGCGGAAAGGATTCATGAAACTGGCTTTGCAAACTGGGTGTGTATAAGACTTGGAGTTTCTTATCAGTTGGAAAGTCGTCTATTACCAAAGGTTTCATTGATTTACTATCACTGTAATTTCGATTATCAGTATTTCCAAAGCATCATTGTCCAGCCTATAACTTTATGGGATCCATCTTTTCACGTCTTATCTGATTTCACCAATAAGTAAATCTGACGACGACACGGATGGTTTATAAAAGCCTGACGCGAAATAGAAAGTTCGTACTTAGCTCAAACTCGTGGGGTAAAAAGGAAATTTCTTACCTCTTAGGAATTCGCAGAGACGTGAACCTTTTCTGAACTACGCTCCTTGATTTCCGTTATTCAGCATTTTTCATTCGCATATTTATTAATTTATTTTTAATCTTTACCATTAGTTTTTATCAATTTTTGAGAGGCACCCTCTGGTTTGGTATTCCTGGTTGTAACTGTTCAGTTCTACATCACTCAGAGTTTTGAGATGAATCGTAATCAGATGGAAATGTTTATCATTTTCAGGTCCGATCTCGTCCCTGTCTTTGGGTTTGGACAAAATAATATTTATCAAGTTATTGGCGGCAGTAGATCCTCTCAATTTTCACGATTTCAGCGTTGGCTCAGGTCTTTTACTTCTTGCTTAGGAACTTGCTTTCTTCCGAAACGATCTCCAATCAACGTTGTTGGTATGCAGAAATCTTGATAAGCACTTAATGACTGGCCACAAGGGAAACAGTGAGTTTTGTTTCCCTAAGACCTTCAATGTTCCCCGATGTGACGCCAAGGAGAAACTAAACTCACTGTTTCCCATGGTGCCAGTGTGTTTTTTTTATACTTCAAAGCTCAAAAAATAGAACAAATTGTAGAAGAGTGGCGCACAAACTTGCCCCGATTTCAAGGTGCATTTCCCCATCATGTTTGAGTCGAAAGTTTAAGTTATTTAGAGGGAGTTTGTGAGTTTTGACTCATGACACGTGATACGTTCTTCCCTCCAATTGGAAAGCGCTTTTAAGTTGGGAGGTGAAACAATACTTTTGATCTAGCTTGAAACTATTACGACAATCATTTGGTAGTCATAACTTCTACGTTTTTTTCAAAAACTGTGGAAGGACCGTTAGTTCTTTCTGCCTTCATCATAATTGACATAAGTGGCATTTATAAGTTCAGTAGTTATTTGTTTTGAGGAGACGATCTATTCAGTACCGGTTTTAATTTTCTATTACACAGTGGGATCACCTGTTCCTGTGACCAAGATTGCCAACCCAACACAGGAAGAGATAGACCAACTTCACGTGCAATATTTAGAAGCACTTACCGATCTGTACGAGAAAAATAAGGACAAGTATCATCCAACAGGGACTTCAGAGTTATTGATCATTTAGCTAAGAAAGTAAGCCTCAAAAGTGTTGTTCCAGCATCAGTAAATCAAGTCTGTTTCGTTCTGTTTTTTTTCCGTTTTTATCCTCTCACACAAAGACCTTACCAGGCAAGTGTATGGTGACTACATTGAACAGAGAACAATTAAAACTGGCCGATTTTCTCACAACTTCCTGTCTTTGCCTATTGTAAACCTCAACTTCACACTTGCATTTCATTGAGATAATCGCGGTAAATATTTCCGATGAATTTTAGATGGAGAGAGTTTAACAACTACGCTTGCTGCAGCTAGCAAGAATTTAACTCTTGTAGTGTGCCGCTTTCAGTCGTTTGTCGCATTAATTCGAAAATATTCTTTTGTGTATGAGGAGGTTACAAAGGTTGTGCTTCTTTAGCATAGAATTCGAATCAAGTTTAGCGAGAATGTATTTAGAAGTCTTTAATGAAGAGCTATTATAAGCTGATGATTTATTTGAAAAAGTTATTATTATGCTATCAGCATTGTCAATCTAAAGCGTTTGTATGCTGATCTCGAGCGTGAAAGTAAACCCTTCTCAGCGCGAGTTTCATTAAAAGATCTCCATTTCGCTTGTTTTCACTGACTTCTTTGTGTACATGTACCTAAACAGCCAGTCCACATTCGTGCGAACGAGATTTGAAGAATGCATAAAGAAGAATAGTTCAAAAAAGAATGTTGTATAGCGTTTCCCCCACATTATCAAAATTTCGAGTCTATACTAATAATCGCGATTTCAAACTAGAATAGGTTGCGCGGGTCGGTTGCGCGCCTGGAGAGCAGGAAAAAATGAGAGTGAGACTGGGGCGGAAAGCAAGTCGCGGTCGCATGGTTACGTTTTCAAACTTGAAACAAAGATGGCGTCTGGAAATCCCTTGATAACACTAGAACGAATGCTTAATGGCAGGACAACGTTAAAAACACAGAAGGTGACACACACAAATATCGTGTGTAAGTATAGATATTTCCTTTTCTGACATTATGCGTGAGTATGAAATTTCCAACCAACTTAGTGATTTTGTTCTAGATTACTTGATCACTAATTTGGTTCTATTGATCAGCTGAGTTGATAACGTGAATAGTGGCTTCCGCAGAGAGAAAATAAAGCTGACGTTTCAGAGCGAGTAATTTGTTAACACTACGACGAATGCGATATGCTAAATGACAGGATGACAGCTCTGACAAAATGCTAACGCTCTAAATGTCAGCTTCATAATTTCTCGACGGCGTCCAATTCACATTGCGTTATTAACGCAGCTGATAGAAACAAACATCTGTTCCTTTTAGTGACAGTAGAGAAAGAAATTAAAGAATTTTTGAAAGGCTTCATTTGAGGGGAAAGCCTTCAGGCTGAAGATTTGAATTATCCATCATTTTCTTCTTCAAGTGATACTGTTATTATAAACTAAATGACCCTGTATATTATTGTCGGTAGGCATTGGAACAGAACTTTTAAATGAAATACAACAAGTTATGAGAGAAGATAAAGGAAAAGCTGTTCGAGAAGCTGTAAGTTAATGTTAAGCACAGTCCACAGCACAGAGTGGGTTTCTGTAGAATCATTTACTCGCACAGAGCAGCTTAGATGTTCCCTGTCCCTTCATATATATATTTGTTTCTGTTGAAACTTAGAGAATTGTTGTTCCCTTAAAATGAGTGATATGCTTTTCTTCTGAAGTTAAAACAACTCACTAATATTAACCCTTTAATCTAAGAGTGACCAGCATTTAATTTCTCCATACAATATCACCCCTGAATCACACATTAAGACCATGAGAGTAATGGAAATGATCAACAAGTACAGGAGCTCTTGATTGTTAAGCAAAATCTCCTTGTCAGCACCCTAGGAAATGTACAGAAAACCATATGGAGAATGTGCATACTGATCTTACGATGTAAAGGATTAAGGAATTACAATGTAGCTTTCCCAAATGCAATTAGAGGTGTCTTGACTGTTTAAACTTTTTTTCGCTCAACAAGGTTTGGCTATTCAGCCTTCCTGAGGAAAAAATTACAGGATTCTTTCAAAAATCGTGCTAGACAGATTCAAAATAGCAAATCAAAAGTTATGAAAAAAAAAAACCTCTCTGTCCTGGAAATTAGAGTATTTTTCGGAGTGTTTTTCTTGGTTAATTTTTTTCTAATCAAATTAGTACCTATTTCAATATATTTATTTATTTTAGTGTTGATTAAAAAAATTTTAATGTTCTGGATAAACAACAGGTTGCTGCAGCTGAAGCAAAAGCACGTGCGGAATTGAAAAAAGCTCTCCAAGAGCAAAAAGAACAGATGGAGGGAGAGAGAGATCGTGCACTGGAGGAAGCTAGACTGGTAAATGACATTATCACATGTATGAGTCTCTCTCTAGCCATATAATCTTTGGACAAACACTTTGTTGGGTAAAGGGAGGGGAACTGTTGAACAGCAAGGCTTATAGGTGGCAACATAAAGGTAGTTACATATCCAGTTATTTAGGCAATATTTTTTTATGTAGATATCATGATCAACACTAAGTATCACTTTGAAAGGTTATAACTAAAAGCGAGCTTTAAAAACTTGATGATTTTTATCACTGCTTTGAAAAAGTATACAGAAAGATTCAGTGCCACTTATTGCCTTCTAAGATTCCCAAGGCAAGAGCAACCTTACTGTTAGAGATGTCTTCAAATGTGCTAAAAATGTCCAATGTTATTTGGTGTTATTCTGCAACCACTGAGTGATGTAAAACTGTTAGATTATCTCTTTCAAAATCTATAGGTCATCATTAACATAGTTGCCACTAAGTAATTTGGCATTATCAACTGTGTTGATAACTTAAATTGGCCACCATAAAGAGTTTAAGAGCTGACATTGCAAGGGTTATCCCTTTGTCAATCGCTCTGATGAAGGACTAACACTCAAAATGTCAGCTTTTTGACTCTTTACAGAGGCCAATTTGCATCATCAACTCAGTTGATAATAGTAGATTACCCTGTTATTCTCTCACACTGACGCAGCACCACAGTTTCTTTAGAAACTTACCCCCTTTATAGATGCCACTGAGTTTGGTGGTATCACTGTAAGAAGGACAACTTCTTACTCCCAAGATCTAAGTATCAACTCTCTTTACTGTTTGCTATACAATTCTCACAATTGTAGCTTTGAGAATTTGGTGTTAAATCAAACAATATCTCCTTGATTTATGTTTTTTTTATCTTCTTTACACCTTTCTCTTCAAAAAGTGTAGAGGTATGAAAAGGAGCAAATTTCTCTCGGTCACTCCTGGTATTATAGGGTTAAATTTATTTTTTTTTTCAGCAAGCGGAGGAACAAATGGCAGAAATTAGGTACAGATGTGAGGTCGCAGAAAAAAAGCGGGCTCGCTCGGCGTTGGAAAGATTTCAAAAAGAAAAGAGTGATGCTTTGCAAAAAGCAGCTGAAGAAGCGGAGAAAAACAAACAGGAAGCTCTGAAAAATCTTACGGAGACGCTCACAAGAAAGCTCAGAAACGAAGCAGCCCTTCAAAGAGAACTGGCTGTTGGTGAAGCACTTGCAGTTGCGAGGGTAATTTTAAACGTTTACGTAAAGTTTATTTCCTCAGTATCTGTTCAAGGACTAGATGACAGTGTTTACAAATACTTAAACTTTTATTTTCTCTAGAAAAATGCCGAGCGTCGTCGACAAGAATCAATCGAAGAAACAAAACTAGAATGCGAAAGAAAATCTACAGCAGAAGCGTCAAGAGTTGCGCGGGTCCACCAGAACAAAGTGAATGAACTCAATCAAAGGTACAAACAACGTCATTTGATTTCGAAGTTCTTGGTTGAGTCTCTAAACGTTCCATCACTTTCATTAAAGTAACACGTGACTGTGCTGCAGTACCCCTGCTGACCTTTCAACTCCCAAGATCTGATTGTTAATTCTCCCCTCTAGCTGCTACACATTTTCTTGTAAAATAGTTGCGAGAATTTGGTGCTAGATCAAGAAAACAACTTCTACGGGATCAGTTTGAGTATTCTCATTACCCATTTGCTGGTAAAATGTGCATGCTGTTAGAAGGTTGAGTTGAGTAAAATTCGTCTAAAAGCAAGCGGTGGGGGTGGGGAGAGGGGGTAGCGTTTACATATAGAAGATGAAAACAGAACTATAGGCCGTGTGTTTTTCTGTGGGGGAGGGGGGGGGGCGCGGAAAGGGAAAGAGCGCGGGAGATGGCGTATATTGATTGGGTATTACGGAAGACGAATGAAATCGGGGACAAATATCATCTGTAGGTTGTCCTTCCGACTCTCCCACCATTTTTCGCCACCTCCTTTTTCGGCGGTCTTCATTGGCGGGCAACCTGAACTAAGCTGCATTTGATTTCGTTTGTAAGAAGCTCATGATATCTGCACTAGGCGCTGCCCCAACATAATGCGGGCTCTAATCCTGTGCTGCAATTTTTTTCCAGGATTGATCAGTTGGAAAGAAATTTAGAAACTGAAAACGACGCAAAGCTCAAAGTAGAGAATTTGTTCCAAGTAAGTGTTAAGTACTGAGTGACGCGAAAAGTTTGCGGCAGTTTTATTTCGGTGGTTGTCAATGTTTTTTTTTTTTGTTGTTTTACCGCAACGGATAATTTTTGGTTTGAGGTGACGAAAATTTCTGTGGAAAACTAATTTCAATTTGGGATTGGCAATTTAAGCTTCAAAACCTTAACAGGGATAAGAGAGCTAATATTGTCAAATTTTATAACATGTCGAGTTATGCAGAGGGATGATACCTGGTGGTTGATTCATCGATGAAAATTCTGAGTGGGTCCAAATACAAGAATCCGATTTGAAACTTGATTTGCAGGTGGAGGTTTTCGTTGAACTGCTGGTAGGAAATTTGGCGGCCTTCTTGCGGGTTTTAATTGTGCGTGGTGCGGTTCGACGATGAAGCATGAAATCCGCAAAAATTTAAATTCGCAAAGTGTGAACGCATTTTTCGAAATACATTGATTAACGTGTGATTCCAGACCAAATTTCATTGCACTTTTAAACACTAATACTAATCGTTTCGCATTCTTTCTTAGACAATTTTTAATAATAATTTCCAATTTTGAGAATTTTTTTGTTTGAGATGGCTGAAGAGACATCTAGTTGTAAAATTTACTAAGTCGTGGACTTTTTAATACGCTTTTTAACGTTTCCAATCATTCTGTGAGTCGTCTCTAATCGTTCGTCAGCTTCTTCAGTAGTAATGGGGCCAGTGATAGTCTTCACGCCTTCTCCATTTTACCTACATACTCGAAATCTACTGGAGCTTGCTCGACACCCCGTTTTGTTTCGGAAAAGTTTTCTTATAACACTTTTTAAAAGGAAACAGATCTATACGTGATAAGAAAAACGAAAATTCATTTACATGTTTTCATTCTTGAACCACGTATGCCGTTTCACTTTTCGCCTTTCTAGCGTACGGAGAAGCGCGTACGGAGAGGCACTTTTCTCTTGCAACATATCCTGCCAACAATAACAGCAAGATCCTAGTCTCTCTCGATAAGATTTTTCGAGTTCTTGCTTCTAATCTTTAAGGAAGCAAATTGGCTTATCTGCCATCAATTGAACTTGTGTTGCAAGCGAGTGAGAAGAATTTTGCAGGTCGTAACACATCACATATAGGCAACTTTATATCGTGACTAGCCGCCCTCAGACATGTAAAATACTTTCTACCTGTTACTTAACATTAACAATGCCGTGCTTTGTCTTATAGAGACCTTTGGCTCTTCAACTGCAGATGATAACTTTCAAATTCAGTATCAAGACTAAATTCATTTTATTTTGAAAAGTTTCAACCAGCTGTTAAAACATTTTGATGCGGTCAGTAAAAAAATTGTCAAAATTTCGTTTGTGATATGCAACAAACTTCAAGAACCCGTTTACAGAGCAGAAAGGATGTAATTCATTTAGAATTGACAACTGTGGTTGCAGTTTTTTTTTTTCAGGCTGTGAAGTAAAGCTGAAATTTCGCGAAAAGAAACTCCAAAACAAAGCCCTCTTTATATTAACTCACAGTTCTTGAAGCAGATTAAATTTGAACGTAGTTGTTTACACTGAAAGATTTATTAAATATAAATAAAAATAAAAATTTTATCCTAAATTTTACACAATTCTTTTTCTGGCAGGAAATGAAAGAAGACTACAAGAGATTTCAGAATTATACCAGAGGATTTCATTCGGACTTTCTTATGAAATAACCTACGTATTTGTGCAGGATTATTTTAAAGGTGTTGGTAAATATTCAGAAGGCACTCAGTACACAGTCATAACAAGCTCTAGAGGAGTTATTTGTACCCACGCACGATCTCCCAGAATCAAATAAGAGAATTTGTTTTGTTCACGGGGAAAAAATCATTAATTCTCTCTTATTACGACGAAAGCATTATAAATGTTGCCAGAAAGCATTATTTATACATGAGAAATTACTTATAGTTTGATTTTAAATTTCTATGTGGAAAAAAAGGTATGGAACATACAGAAGCCGTAATTCTCCTATAAACTGCTGGGTTTGGACGATCATAATTTATTTTTTTTGCCCTTGACTAGAGTTGCTATTAATTTTGACTCGTCGAGCACTATTTCCAGATAAAAATTTCACCCTTGCCAGCTAGTGGTATAATTAATTCCCAATTCGTTAATTTGCCATTTGCCATTTCAAACGTACGCAAAGAAAATGAATTGGCACGACTGTTCTTTAAATTAAAAATTGGGTTGAAAAAAAAAGAAAACAATCTTGCCTTAATCTTGATGGACAGATTTTCTAACCAGTCACCAAAATCAATTTGTTCTCTATCCGGTTCAGGTAGATAACCTACTGGGCTTTGCCAAAACAAGACATTGTTTTGCATACGGTTTACTCGCCATTAATGTACGCATTTTCAAAGTAATGAAACCACAAGAGTGGAATTCCCTGTGCGGTCGCAAACGGAGCATCAATTTGAACTCCTTTTGTACTTTTTCATGTCAGCCTAATGGAAGGTTTCAATTGGAAACGAAGAACGAACCAAAAACAATGTTGCAATCGCTCAACTCTGCGAGCGATCACTGATGGTGAAGATAAGTTTAAACGTTATAATTTATGCATTACACCTCAACGAGAATAAAGTACTTTTTCATCGTAAATTTCTTTAATAAATTCAATGCATTATTTCCTGAAAGTCCCCTATATTTTGACGGCGCTAATTTCATTACTACTATCTGTAGTACTTATTATGTCTTTGAGGGATTTCTTCACTGTTGTTCAATAGTGAATCCAGTTCGCTTGCGGCTTCGGATGTTTCGCGATTTTCACGAGCCTCGTCCTTCTCCAACATGTTCTTGTAATAAAGAGTATTGAAATTCGATACAAATGTTAGGACGGGCAGCGCGAGAGTCACCGCGCCAAATATTGCACAAGCAGCCGACATAAGTTTTGCTAAAGGGCTGTGAGGTACCATGTCTCCATATCCTATTGTTGTGATGGTTTGTATTGAGAACCAAAATGTTGCAGGTACACTATGGAAATCTGTCTTTTCACTTCCCACTTCGATATAATACAAAAGGCTAGCTGTAACAATCACACTGAAAAACAGACACAGAATTAAAAGCCCTAATTCTCTGAAGCTCTCAAACACGCAATACCCAATTATCTGAAGACTCTTGGAATAACGGGAAAGCTTGAAGATTCTAAAAACTCGAACGATCCGTAATATTCGTAGCGCTGCTACTGAGCTTGCTTCGGACTTGGTGAGAAGAAGTGAAACATAGAACGGAGCGATGGCCACCAGGTCGATAATGTTCAAAATCGACGTAAAAAAACTGCACTTGTTCGGGGAAGTGAACAGCCGAACTAAATACTCGATTGTAAACCAAGTGTTGAAGGCTAATTCTAAAAGAAACCAGGTGTCTTCGCTCCAGACCGGCTCCTCTGCGGTGTCTGCAAAATTAGCGAAGTCGGCTTTCTTTTCTCTTATCGAGGGTACAGTTTCTGCGATAGAGACTGCAATTGCCACGACGATAACGCTGACAGAAAATATGGCTAAACACGATGCCGCAAACGACGTGTCGGGTTGATCAAAGAGTTCCCAGATTTTGCGCTGAAGTTTATTTTCAGGAAGTTCTCTTGGACTTTCGTTTATACTCAGATACCCTTCCTTTAGTCGAATGTCACTCAAAACTTCATCTCCCAGTTCGAAAAACTCAATTTCTTGCTTAAAAATACACATGGGGACTTCAGCCGGCCGCCTGAGTCGTCCACTGGACTGGTAATAATAGAGGATTGCCTCAAAGGCCGATCGATTGCGGTTGAAGAAGTACTCTTTAAATTCCGGTACGTAAAACTTGCTTCGCTTCTCCTCGTTGCCCAGGAGCGTGTCTGGAAAACGTGATAACGTCGTCTGGCGCGTTTCAAATATCATGCCGCTTACGTTTATCACTACACGGTCGTCGTAGATAACGCTTCGTACAGAGCACATCTTGAACGCTATGATATGGCTTTTGGAGGTGCACCCTGCACCAAAGCGACGTACGAGCCAGGAGCTTACAATTTGATGGAAATATCACGTAGAAAATGAGTCATTTTATAGACCGCTTGAAAGTAAACAATCTAACATACCCAGAGCAGGTTACGCACCTTGCCATCATCACTTAGCTATTCGCTCGCTGGATGTTTAAGGTAGAAGTGTCGCATGAATTATTTATGCATCGTTCTCGTAGCTCTTCTTCAACGCTTGGAGCTACAAAGAAAAGAAATCCTGTGATGTCAAAATGTGATTTATTCGTCTTGTAGCTTTAGAATGGCCATTTTCAAAAGATAAGGTTTTTGTTTGAGTAATAAAAGTCGCTATAGAAAGGGCTAATGCATAATTCAGGTTAAAAAGCGTGATTTTCTAGTGTTCCTATGTGTAAATTCAATGACACCTGTACTTCAAAAACACTATTTTTATCACCAAACCACAACATTTGTTGTTCTTCAATCGATATACTATGACCCTATTCACAAATTATTTGGGTTTATTTTATTTTACACGAGCATTTCACTCAAAAAAGGTTATTGTAGATGGACATATCTGCATCGCAGCGCGGTGGGTAAATTATTACGAAGTCTAACTCTTTAGAATTGAAATTTGACCAAAGAGACATTTTTTTATCCATTTCTCCGCATTTGAAAATAAGATCGTCTCAACAACGCGACGTAGAAAATCGCGAGTACGAGTCGGTGAAATAGGAGTTTGCACATCATGTACAATAAATTTGACTCAACTCACCGGTGTTCGCCCTGTGCGGAGTGTGAAAATTACGTTTACATCTTTAAAATGGCTTTGTTTAACGTCTACAATAAGTATACCACAGATTTATTCAAAGCTTCCATAGAGCAGTAGGGAAAATTGATTAATTAAAAATTCGTCCCGTGTTCTTATGTCGAAATCCTTAGTCACTTCCTCCACATACACTGTTTTTGTTTAAAATTGACGCAAAATAGTCTTACCACAACTTGAGCTTTGAGTTCCTCAATTACGATATTCAAACATTGCTTTTCTTCAAGTTTCTTCAGTATTTGATCATTGTCATGTAGGGCTGAACTGATCTGTAATGAAAATTAGGAAGGTTCCTTAACGCAAATGATAGCACCCCGGTAACGGGTTAAGGAAAAGCTTGTTAAATATACCTCGTTGTTGAAGGATGTACTTATAGGAACGCGTCTCTGGGTAAGATACGCGTTGAATCGAATGATCTTGAAGTCTTAATGGATTTGGGCGTTGTTGTTTTTTCAATTTTGGAAAACGGCAGAAAATGACTGCAGTTACTTAATAAGAAGCTTAGTCAAATTGCCGCCGGACAAATAACATGAATCATTCTAGGTAATTTCATACCACGAATCACATGAATTTGCATTTTCACGTTATTTTTCGTGGAATTTCATGTATTTAAGCAAGAAAATTGGAAACGAGTCAATAAGAAAAGACAGCGCATTTTGGCAAGGAGATGATGGCATAAATGCCGGACAGAGTTGGCAAGTGACTACAGGGTTGTTTGGAAGCTGAAAAAACCAAACGTAACAGAAAGTAAAAATAGGACGTTATTATAAGTATAAACGACATTACAGAGGTGTAAAATTTGCTCAAAATGCTTAACTAACCATGAACTAAGAAATAATCGCTCGTTACTCATAATGGGCAGTGATTGATACTTGACATGTACTCTTGGGATTAACACTCCATTGAAGTGCGTTGATAGCCAAGTGACAGGAATATCTAACGACATAACATTCAGGATCATAATAATAATAAGCGCACTTAGTATTTCTTGTAGGAAATGCCTCCCAAAAAATAATATATATGAAGACGTTTGACGCCGATTAAAAAATTACGAATTTATCTATTTTCGTCCATTGCGTTGATCAATGAACTTGCTGGGTCCCATAAATTTGCTGGCCATGTCGCTATGATCGCTGTTTTCGTTCGCACTAAATCTTTGACACCAACACAACCTGTCAAATTGTAATTTCTTTCATAATTGTGATTGTTGTGTCTGCGATTAGAAACAAGTCTTACTCAACCGAGAAATTCGTCAGACCCCGGCGGCTCAGGAATATTAAAAAAAATAAGCCAAGGATCTGTAGCGGAGTAATTCGAAAAGGGAGCAGCCGATAAGTGGACACCACTATAATGGCGAGGCACCTGCGATCGCGAAATAAAAAAATGGTTTCATCGCAAACCCGAAGTGCGCGGTTTTCATCTTGTAGAGGAAGTCAAGGCCTCCGGCCACAAGCCTCGTATGATGTACAACACCGTGAAAATAAGCTATAGTTACCAGAGTTTCGCCCTCCCCATTCGGTTTTACTCTGATGCTATCAAAGCCTTAACTTTGTATCCTTCGCTACATATCCTAGAAATCACTAACAATCTATTTCACGTGACTCGTTCCCAGTCGTCTTCAGAACGTGAACGGCAGATGAGCGTAAACGGGAGAGGAAGTCTTCTCTTTCTTCTTCCAATCAGCCCTTTCTTTCACGCTGCACTCCCGAACCACACGCGTTTTGAAGAAAACTGGATTTGAGGAAAATTGTTCTACTCCGACCAAAATTACAGCTCTGAAGAAGCGTGGATTTGAAACTAATAAACCCAGGATAGTTAAAATGTAAAAGTTCCTCAAAGCGACAAAGATTCATATTCCATGAGAGGTTTACTCTGATAGATCGAGAAAAAATTGCCGACAAACCCCATGTACTTGGAGAACTGTATTTTTGAGCGAATTCATTTTCTAATTTTCGTATTTTGTCAAACGACACGTTTTTGAGTATCATTTTCGAGCGATGACTTCACTTCATTATGTGTAAACTAAAGGTAAATTGCTTTTTGTTAAAGAATCTATCATAATTAGTTCTCTCGTAATACTCTATTTGTACAACATGTCCGTTGAAAGAGCACGGGAATAATAACAATAACACGCAACTTGGACATTTTCGTATGGACGAGGCCCTAAATGTTAATTTGAATAAGAATTTGTTACTGACTCACTAAATTTACACTGATTTATAATGCAGGCTCTTCAATAACGCAGTTTAGGCTTACGGATGAATTTTGCTAGAATCGAGACTCTACGAAAACAACTTTACACGGTGACTGTCTGCTGTTTTGTAGGCGACCACCAACTGCACGCCACACCGAGCATCACAGCCAGTTTATGTGATATAGGTTTACAGTCAAGTCGCCCGAGAGTCATCTCGCCCGAAGTCATGTCGCCCGAAACCTGAGTTATGTTGCCCGAAATTTTAGTTATGTCGCCCGAAAAAAAAAGTGAAGTCGCCCGAAGAAACAAATACTAAAAATATCAGAATTACAGCTGTTAATAGGCAATAACGTTGAGAAATTTTTATCAGAGAAAAAGTTTCTCAGGCTTACGAAACATCCGTGAGTAAGAAACGATTACATACCAAACGAACAACGCTGCATTTTGTTGTTAGAAACGAACAACATTTCCCTTTGTTGTTAGGGACGAACGACGCTTTAAGAATCTTCATGATGTTGTCGGAAACAAAGAGCGCTTCAGTGATAAAAATTTCTCAAACGTTATTGCCTATTTACAGTCTGAAATTCTGATCTTTTTTGTATTTGTTTCTTCGGGCGACATTACTAAAATTTCGGGCAACATGACTCAGGTTTCGGGCGACTTGACCGGTTCCTGTGATAAACTATCGCAGGTTCGACCAAGGTTTTGAAAGTCTTTTGTCAAGGTGCTATTTTTCAAATCGCTGAAGCCTTCTTCTACGAACTTCATCCAGCGAACTTTCCTGGGGCGTGACGCTTTCCGGGGGGTACGGCGCATGTCTCCCTGTGTATCCGTTAACAACGTGTTCTTGCGGGGGAGCAGAAGGTTCTGGATCCGTAGAGTAGGATTCCGCTATCCCCGAAGGGTACGGTGGAGACTGCGCGAACGCCCCGCCTGTATAGAGAGTAGGATCCGGCAGGCGGGGATAAAGACCTCCTCCCTCTCGAGGGTAGGGTGGAACTTCTTGGGAGGGGTAGGCTGAGGGCCCCTGAGTGGAGTAGGGTGGCGGCCGCGAAGAAACACCACCAGATGAAGTTGCCGACCAAGAATTATAACGGCCCCCATTTTGAGGGGGGTATGGTGGGGATCCGGAAGATGGCCCTCTTCTCTGAGGCTGTTGGTTATCAGACCACCGAGAGGGCTCCCCTCCTGGGTTATCTAGGCTCTCTCTTATTGCCGTCTGTATCCTTGGGTCATAATCATCCAGGTTTGGCTGTCGATTCATATGTGTTTCTCGGAGGCTTGCCCTTATAGCTTCTCTGAGTTCTTCATCAGCGGAATCATAGTCATCTGGAGGCTGTCTGTTTCGTCTTCGTCCTGTAGAAAGATTGGACTTAAGATGAGGGAGGCTCACTTAAGTTTTGATTAGAGATACTGATGTTTTACAACAAGAACAAGGTTCACCATGGTATTCAGGCAAGAGTAGTTGCATTTGTACTTTCAGGCAAGAAACTGTTACCCTTTACACCCTAACATCAATGTGTATATTTTCCATAGTGTTCTCCATAAATTTCCCAAGATGCTGAAAGGGAGAACTTGTGAGGAAAAGAGCTTCTTTGGTTGATAATCGGTTCCTTTGTTCTTGTGATTTTATTGTGTGATTCAGAGGTAATATTGCTTGGAGAAATTAGATAATAGTCACTCTTAAAGATCAGAGGGTTAATTACTCCTACAATTTAACAGGTTAATACCAAAACTCTTTATGTGGAGCCTGTTTCAAATAGTTAGTTTATTTCTTGTTAACCTGTTGTCCCCACATGGTAGGTGTATGATTGTCTCATTCTTCTTGTCACTCCTGATCCTAGCAAAAAATGGAGATAGCACTTAAAATTCAGGCAAAGAAAAATAATGTACAAATACAAATATAAGTTAAACTTAAAACGACACTTCTTAACCCTTTACACCCTCACTTCAGTATGCATATTCTCTGTACTGTTTTTGATAAATTTTCTAGGGCATTGGCAAGGAGAATTGTTTAACAATCAAGAGCTTCTTTAGCAGCTGATTGTTTCCTTTCTTCTCCTGATCATAATCTCCGTACCATTTTCAATAAATTTTCTAGGGCATCGGCAAGGAGAATTGTTTAACAAACAAGAGCTTCTTTAGCAGCTGATCATTTCCTTTCTTCTCCTGACCATAATGTTTGATTCATGGGTAATATGATGGGAAGAAATTAAATGCAAGTCACTTATTAGGGTCAAAGGGTTAGTTGTACCCCTATTTCAGTCTCATGTTAACTGAATGGGGGGCACTTGGAACTAATTTTACCATATCACCCCAATAATTGTTTGCTATAACATAACATAGAACACACTTTTCCAAGTAACAGTGATGAATTAAAGTATACATTATGAGAATAACCATTCACAAAATGACCTAAATAGTTAGGGTAAATTTCCAGGAGCATAGTTGTATTGTGTTAAATTATTTTTAAAACTTTTGCATGGACACTTCAAAATTAACAGTAAGGAATTGTTACTATTTTCTTTTCACTCATTACAATATTACATGGTTTTGAAGAAAAAAAAGGTCTGTATATTAACTCAGTGTTTCAGGTAGTGGCTTTCAAACTTTGAAAAAGAATTGATGGCAGAAACCAGAAACCAGAAACCTGAAAAGGCATTATAAATTATCAGATCATTTTTGGATTCTGCATTCCAAAGAAAAAAATTATGAGTGATGTGTTTGGTGTAATGTGTTGATTGAATAGGAATGGAGGTTTTCCATCAAAGGAACAGGTCCTGGTTTTTCAAAGGTCGAATAATGCTATCCACAGGATAAATCTCAACATGATGGATAATCTCTATTAAAAATCTATCTGCTGGATAGTAACTTATCTGTTAGATAGAATTATTCAACCTTTATACAACAATTAGTTAAGTTTAAACTTGATTGGTACAGAAAATAAATAACCAAGCAACGATGATGCATTTATTGAAAGATGTTCTTTTCATCTTGTCACAAACATGTGACAAAGAGAAATTTTTGAGTTCTAAGGGCAAAATTAATGTCAGACCACCAGATTTTGGACTTTGATGCTCAACCTTTTAGCCATATGGACTCTCCTATGAGGACAGTTGTTACTGGGTTCAAAGATAACACACCCACTGTATACTGCAATGCTAGGATTCTCATGTGAGTAAATAGTAATCCTAATAATATCAATACAACAACTACTTCTAATAATAATAATACAGAGGATTTATATGGAGCTGTTTCTGCCAAGTATCCAACAGCACTTTACAATATTGAAAGTTAAATAATAAATCAATTAAAAATAGGATATCAATGAGAGTAAGAAAGAAATAGAAAAATAGAATAGAATAACTAGAATAATAAAGACATAAAAATTTAAATTCAGTGTTGAGATGAAGAAAATGTTTTTCATCCATAATAGCACAAACATCATTTCAGACAAAATCTAGCTGGCTTGCCCTTGAATAAGGGAAATAACGCTAGTATAGAGTAACTTACCAGTACCACTGATTGTATCCATGATATACTTTAAAGGACCTTTAACGTACATCATTCCCACAAGAATACCAGCTAAATGACCAGTAAATGAAGCATTAGGAACAAGAAGCTGAATGACAATCAACTCCACCCAACAGGCCCACCTCATTGGTACTGGGAACATACCCATCACCATGGAAACACCAGAAGGAAGGTTGTATGTTGTAAGAACTTTAAGGGCAAAGATGACACCTGAAAAACCCGCAGCACATGTGTACATGTAAGAAAAGTCCTCAGTTACGTTCGCCAGAACCATGTCTAAAGCAACAAGAACGGTGTTAGTTAAGGCAGTGAATACGGACAAGATGTACAGAAATTTCGGACTTCCCATCCTTGGTTCGAGCGACATGCCCTTCCAAACGAACGAGGCCATGTTGTAGTACAAATGAAAGTCGTTTAAGTGATAAAAGGCGGCGAAAATGATTCGCTTCCAGTCGCCATTGTACCAGACATGATGGGCACTAACACAAGCTTTTCCGAGAGATGGAAGGTTGTTCAAAAGCTGGAGATAAACTGCGACGTTTATACCGATGAAAGTCAGTGTTACAGGAGGAATCCTGTTAAAACCAATGTTGTAGAGCTGGCTGGCCAAAAATAACAATCCGATCCCCGGGGATCTTCTTCGCCCCGGCTGGAACATTGTTCATCATAAAATATCAGGAAGGAAAAGTTCCTTTCTGAAGTCGACCTTTGGCGTATTCGTTTCCCTTTAGCACGTCAAAATACAGGTGTAACTCAGTGGCCTTATACTCTATAGTGGCTCCCAAAAAGAAAGGCTCTTCTTTTATACTTTTGTTAATCTGACGTGTCAAAATTAATTTCGATTTCAAAATGCCTTACTCATCACTTTTTCAACCTGCCCGCCATCTTTGGTAGACTCGTCTCAACCAGCACCAGTGTAGTGTTGAAAATTCGCTAAGGCAATCTAAGAATACCAAGAGACTTCTTCATTGAAATGTGACAGAAATAAAATACAAGGGCCAACACTGTTCTCTCGCGCTATGAAAGTGTAAAACTTTGAAATAAAAATAAATATAAAACCTACTCTCACCTCAGTGGGTTTACGCTCGTCTATCGACCAGCGGAAATTTCCGACATTGCATATGTCATATTTGACGAATTGAGGTATACCTAGCCTTCTCCTTGGTGCCTGCTCGCGGTGCACTCAGATCTCCTGACATCTGATACAATAATTTTAAGAAGCGGTCGGGCACTTCACTCTTCGATTCAGTCATTCATCCAGAGGAGAGAAGGAAACTAGTATATATTTGGGGTTAGCTGGGGAGAATCCTCTATATAAGCTTTAATTTCATCTTTGATGCTACATACGGTATCACTGCTGAGGTAAGGTACTTGATTGCAATTTCATTCAGGCCCAAACTTTAACAGGTTTTTGAATAAAAAAAAAATAAAAGAAGAAAAAAAAAAAACACCCGCGAACATCTGAAGATTAGTGAAAATCAAAATGGTTTCAAGAAATGATAAAATATCAACAACAAAAGTAAAAAACCTTTTATTTTTCAGAATCTAGTACAATATCCTAGTCTACCCTTAATCAGGTAGATAGTGGATGCTGAAGGAGTATGCCTTATGTCACACGCCAGTCTGGACTTTGCACATATGTGAAGTGCGGTGGTTATTGTGTGATTACTGCTTGGCAGCCTATCAATCACTAATGCTTTGTGAATTCCTGACATGTCTTGAGTTCACAGAATTTACTCGGAAGGATATTAAATTATTCGTATATAAAATTTAGATTCCTAATATTTGGAGCACCACCAATATCGTCATTGAAATGATAGAACACCGATATTTTCTCGACGTTTCTCGCCTAGTTTTTGAGTAATCTTCGTTCTATCAAATATATGTAGCTTGTATCCGAAAACCAGGGTCGTAATTGTTTACCCTGACGACGATCTCGAGCTGATCACGTGAACTTCACGTGGCCTTCATCATGAAGGAACTATGATGTATGGCTGAAATGGAACAAAGGCGCCCTTTTCGTGACAGACAATGATCCACCTGGGTCGCACAAAGGCCAGGGAAGGGTTTTCATCGAGGGCCTGGGAACAAGAGGAAAAACAACTGGTTACGTTTATAAAGCACATCAAATAGACACTGTGGGAACAGTAAAAGACAATTATGAGTTTGGCTGACATGTGTCGATTTCCAGATTTTTAAAATTCTTCTAATTTCATACATAAACGAAGGTCTCTTTCCCCCGACCCCGCATTGAGAATTTGCGTAAAAAAGAATTCAATTTCCCTTCCTATTTTCAAGTCATTTCATCGGCAAAAATAAGTTCCATGTAATTCTGCATAATTACCTAGACTCAGAACAACAGATCGATGTTAGTCTTATTGTGGTAAGTATTGCTTGTAAAACAGTTGCTTAAGAACAAAAGGGAACAGCCAAAGTGCACACTTTACTTACCTCATCAAAGTTTTTGTCCCAATCCTCATTGGTTATGACAAAGTCGACATTATCATTCATATAATCTTCTATAGTTCTGCAGAGAATGTAACAAGAGACATCAAAGATAATTCCGAGGATTGAGAAGAATTTCCGAAAAGAGGACGGTGATTCAGCTCTTTTGACGCCCACAAAAAGTGTTTCACAATCAAACAAATCCCTTACCCATTATAAGCAGTGATGTATCTTATCAACAGTCTTCTGGTCTTGCCATCAATTTCACCATACAGCATGAAATGCTTATGAGAGAAAAAATCAGGTAACAGGGGAAGGTCCTCTGAGCTTGAAATGACTTCGTCAGCAGACTCCGCCTTTCCTGCAAAAAAAAAACAAAACAAAAAACGGTGGAGGTCTGGGGACATGTTTCCTAAAAATTTCTTGATGTGATTTATGACAGAAATTGGAGGAGCGTAGAGAGAGATCGGCAACTCCTGGTACATGTTAATAATGAGCCCGTCAAAAATTATTTCTCGAAAATTGAACAACGTTCTGAGGAGAAAAACAATTTTAGTTCTGATTTTGAATTTGCTGAGATCTTGTATTGATAGGAGCCATGAGTTTAATATTTTGATAAAAAAAAAGGATTCGAGGTGTTTCTTTGAAGGCCATCTTTTCCTCTCGTACCTTTTTCGTCATCAGTCGTACCGCCATATATATCTTCGCCTTCACCAGTTTCTTTTTGGATTCTACAACGACAAAATCAAGGAAATGAATACCCATGGTCAGAATACCCGCCAATGACACCTAAAACCTCCGAAGGGATGTTCGGTTAGGGCTTTTTTCAACTACGTATCGAATTGATTGACTTGGTTTTGCATTGCTAAGCCCTGTGATTGGTCAAGAAAAACTCGCTCCGCCCCTCAACCAATCAGATGCCGTATAAAGACACAATCACGACTTGATCACGCGCGTTTTCCGCGCTTCAATCAAGTTCTTGGTTTTCACCAAAAGCGCATTAGCTTCTTGTATTCTTGAATTATTTTTCTTTTTTCTGAATGGTCGATGAGGATAATTTTAGTCGCCTTTTTACGACAATTAATTGAAATACGCATAACCATTTCTTTCCCGCCCGGTTCTTGTTGCCATTACTGTAGTGGCTCATTTGCTTTCAGGTTCTGGCATGCTCACCTTCTTAATTCATCCTCTGTATCATGATCACTGGATGAAGTCTCTTTTGGGCTCAAAGGAGATGGAGCAGTTTCATTTTTACCACTCTTTTCCGGTTGAGGTGATTCTTCGTCAGTTGAACCACCATAAATGTCATCTTCCTCCTCTAATTTCCCGGCTGCATCTTAAAAAAAAAATACAGAAAACAGATTTGATTGAAGAAGCCTCGGCAAAGTCACAACAAAATCTAAACCGGCATTTACAATTACCCATTTTTAATAGTTTTCAAATACTTTTTTTCGTCGCATGTCTGTGTTTGCGAAATGTTTCAGTGCTATGCGTTACTATCATTCTTCAAAGTAGAGGTTTGTTTCTGAGAAGTGAGTCTGCGTCTACGTACCTTTCTTTTCATTTGGACCCGAGACTTTTGCCACTAGAGTTTTGTCGCTCTCTTCGGGAGTGTCGTCTTTCTGCACGTGAACAAATGAGAGTCGTTTTCGTTCAGACCAAATAGAGCAAATTTCGATTTCATGCTTTACATAACCAATGGGCTGACTGAGGATCCAAATGTTTTGTACCACACTTGAGTTGTATACAATAGAAATATTTAGCATCGCGTTTACATGAAACGGCAAACGTCATGTTTCACGTAAAATAGCGTAAACCTCTCTACTTTAGCTTTGCATTAGTTCATGTCACCTCAGCATTTGAAGGAAGTTTTAACGTAAAACTTCATCTGCCCTTATACGACTTATAGGAAATAGTTTTTGGTGCCCATCTTCCGCCAATAAAATTCTACTCTGTAAAAGAAAAAGTGAAGAAAATCTTACGTACACGGCAACCGTGAAACAGCTTATTTTCACGCAGAAACGCCAAAGCGCAACCCGCAAACGGGAAAAATGGCGGGACGTGGTTACGTGGTCACTCTTGCCCTTCACGTTTCACGTAAACGCGGTGCTAAATCTCCCTAATGATAAAAGTTCACGAGAACACGACCAGCAAATCACGAGCATCACTTATCGCACCTTTGAATTCGCATCACTTGCTGGGGCCTTCTTGTAATTCCGCTCATTTCTGTCACTTCCTGTTTTAGGAGGCGGCCGTGCTGGTTTGGTATCCTCCCCTTCACTGCTTTCATCAGATGAACTACTGTCGCCTGGTAAGTGGTAACTAACAGAAAAAAAGAAAAGTCATCAAGAACGTTAACTAATTGGGAGGAAAAGTCGATAATCTGTAAATCGGACGGAACTAGCCGGAATCGAGCGGAAGCGTCCAAATACGGACGAAAGTGGCGGAAACAGGACGGAAACCGGCAAAACACTTTTTAACACTCACGAAACACAAACGCAACGCTGTATAAGGGACATCTCCCAATTTCCTGACACAAATTTTCTCGAGTCCTTAGTGAAATATGTGGCACAGGAGCGGAGTTCCTTACCGTCGAGTGGGCAAGCATCTGCTTTTTTTAAAACAGTCAGTTATCCATTTTTTTGTGACGATCTTTCCTTTCCCTGAAGTTTAGTGAAAAAAAAATAGTGCAAACAAAATAAATCACATTATGACCTTTAACAAGTAAAGAATAAATCTTTGTAGGTTATGTGCAGTTCAAGTCATTGCAGAACTGAAATGAAGATTGAAAAAATTCAGCCGTCAACAAGGATGAAGCCCTTAGCACCCTGCTTATGTTTACTTTAACCTTTACACCATAATATCACCAGGACCTAGTTTAGTTGGTGATCATTTCCTTTATTCTCATGACCTGATGTTTGATTCAGTGGTGATATTGTAAGGAGAAAGTAGAGGCTGCTGACGATCATGAGTCAGAAGGTTAACTTCGCATCCAAAACTCAACTGTATTTCTTAAGTCACTGACACATACTTGAGATTTAGCGTAAACAACAACTAACCTTTTACTTGGTTGAACTTTGGAGTGTTAGCGAAGGCACAACTACAAAAGGAGAAACATGGGCTATAAAAATTCATTGAGTCCCTTTATGCTACACCGTGTATCTTTACGGATCTTACCATTTTCAGATTATCCTTGATTCGGAAAAGTAAAATATCGTTGAAAAGGATCCTACATTCTTATTCATGAGTGGACGGAGATGCTGTAAGAGCGTGCGCCAAAAAAGGTTCAAATTTAGAATACCTCTGGCTTATCAACCAAGTTTGAGGTCCACGCTGTAAGTTGAAAATTGAAGGCGGGCAAAAAGTGTAAGAAGTACGAGGACGAGGCTAATGCCTAAATATATATTACTACATCTCTATTGTAGGTCTGACGGCTTTGAAAAAA